CCCCGGATGTGTAAACTTAGCTCAAGTAAGTTCCGAAAGAAGGGCTCACGTTTACTTTTACGAACAATGTTTCTTGGCTTGGAAAGCACATCAAACAATATATTATGTTACCGTATCACGTATGCATTTTAAAACAAACTTTCGTACTTGCTACTCTCTATGTTTCCTTTTTCTACTATTTTTTCCCCATTATTTTGTAAAATTCTTATTAATTTCTTAATGTTTTCTGTAGGTGCACACAAACCTATTTAGACAAAAATGATCGGACGCATTTCCTAACATTAAGTAACATATTTGTACTGTATTCGGCAGGCCATGCGTATTTTTTCTGTCTAGTTCAGAAACAGTAACTGAACCTACCGATCCTCGAAGATCAGAAAGTTTTTTTAAAAAAGGTGAAGTAATTATTTAATTGTGCATTTTTGGCCTATATCTCTTGATACCGTATTAATTATTATGTCCCCTCCTCTGAAATGTCCAAGTTCCATGTTGCCAGAAATCGTCGTAGATAGAGAGAAAAGAACAGCCCCCTTCCCTGCGATAAACACACACACACACACACACACACACACACACACACACACACACACACACACACACACACACACACACACACACACACTTTTCAAAGCAAATTCACACCATACTCTCTGCTGTCCCGACTGATGAAGAAATGGCAGCGGTGTAACTTACTGTAACATACAGATACAAACTCTTTGCACCCCTTTCTCACCCTCCACCCTCACTTCCAAAAAAAAAAGAAAAAAATAACAGAACAGGAAAAGAAAACGTAATGAATGAGCAGACAGACATCGTCTACCGACTTTAAACAGCAAATAAAACATGCAAATTAGGGCTCAGTTTTCCAGCAGCTTCTCCGCGGATTCCTCGTGTCAAGGCCACTTGTGAGCACGGTGTCAAAGTGTCGCTGTCACCTCCCTGTGGGCCACAAGGGGGCGCGAGGTATAAGCTTTCCGCCATGCTCCCTTCGCCTGTCACTTACCCTGGCCCCAGCGTCCGGTATTTGATGCTTGTGCCCAAATCCAGGTGTGCTAGATATACCTTCACCTCTTTGAGCCCAGCTCCCAGGAAAAAAAGAAACCCAACCACATCCACCCCCCAAAAAAAAAACTCAACAAAAAGAATGTAGCCCCCTCCCCCCCCCCCCCCCCCATTCTCCGCTTCTTCTTCTTCCGGTGTCAAGTGGAGCAGACATTGACGACCTTGGTACCCCCACTCCTTCCTGTTGTCTGTCTTCTTTATCAGCTCGTTTTCTTCTTCTCATTGTGTTATTATTTTTGCAAAGTTGTTCAGGCCATCTGTATACAAAATTGTACAACTATGTTGTTCGGCTTTCCTCTGCTCTTCTTTCCCTCTATGTATACACACAGGAGTTTCTCTAGTCCGTTTGATCTGTTTAGGTAGCCAGAGAATCTCAAGTCCCTTTCTGGCGGTTCTATAATAGATCTTTCTTTCATAACCTGTCTTTTTCATTTTGAGCACTTCTCTATTTCTTTTCTCATGTCCATGAGATTCTGAGTATAATTGTCCTTAAATTTTGAAGTTATTGGCGTCCAAAAGAAACTTGCAATTATAATCACAAAATCATCGTGTTAAAGTGCATTACCCAATCATGCTGCATACCAATAAATTAAAGCTTAATACATTCTGCATCATCTGACACATTAATAATAATATATCCTATATTCAAGGCACTCCCAAGATATGGTCACTCAAAACTGACCTAAAAAAATAAAAAAACAGGCATGGCAAAATTTTTGTAAAAGCGTGTATAGAGGTGCCTCAATATCGATAGAATGGACATACATTACATATGCAATGAATGGAGAATTTTGTCTCTACAATACACACTATTTTATTACGATATTTTGTCACTATAGTTTCAAACATAACGGAAAACATGGCAGTCACAAATACCACGCAAAGCTTTGACCTAGTGTTAAATGTGTCCATCGTCATTTTCCTTAGAAGCCATTAATTTTGTGTCGTCCACGAACCCTTTGGGCATCGACTCTATTAAATTTTGGACACAATTATTTGTCTTTTCATTCCAATTGTCCCAGAAAGTTGCAAAGTGTCTGAATTGGGAGGAAAGTCGCTCTTCTTCAACTTCTGTCTCACGGGACTTCACGTACGGTACCTGTGGATTCATATCGGGGCTATCTACTGATGACCACTCCAACGTTGATTTGATATGGTTTTCCAGGAATTGACTAGTGGCATTCGCCCAGTGAGAAAGTGCTGTGTTGTGCTGACACGAAACCAATAGCTCCTAATCAAAACAAAATTAAAACTAATGAACACATGTGACTGTTAAGTCTAGGTTTTGCGTGGTATTTACTACTGCTCTGTTTTCCAATCTGTTTCAAAATATCATCAGAAGATCATTTGATATTCAGTACAAGTCCATTCAACTGTAGATGCACCCCAATATACGCGCGAACACACTTTTGCGTTTCTCTGATTTTGCACTATTTTGCCAAGCCAGATTTTTTAAAGGTCAGTTTTGAGTGACCATGTCTCGGGAGTCTCTTATCATAGATGAAATATTAATGAGTCAAATGATGCAGAATTTATTCCGCTTTAGATTGGTATGGTGCATGCGCGGGTAGTTCAAGACTGAACACTATGATTGGGTGATTACATTTTCAAGTTTCTGTTGGACGCCATACATATACAGTGTTCCACATTTTGGTGGCTTCCATTCTTCTATCTGTGTCCTTGTTTTGAGCCAAACTCTCGTTTCCATACAAAAGGATTGTTCAAATGAAAGTTTTCACACTTTTTGGGTTCTTCTCTTTGTGTTCAGTGCTATGTTTCTGTGTGAGAGGACAGGCTTCATCTAATTGAAACACTGGTGGTGGGCAAAATCCGGATAACCGGATAATTCTCAATGAAACATTATCCAAATTCAAACTCAAAAACTCTCTTTCCTAATCCGTTTGCTGAAGTGGGTGCACCCATTTGTTGAAGCGGTTCTAATCCGTTTGTTGAAGAGGTTCTAACCCATTTGTTGAAGCGGTTCATAACGACTTGCCGAAGAGGTGCACTATAATACTGTCCGAATTTTGCTAAAGCGACTCATTGCCCAGCCCTATGAAACACCCCTCACATTCACTTAGTCTAGGTCATAGGAAGCAAGTTTCAACCCTGCCTGTCAGACTGTCAGGGTCAACCCAGGCTGAGGGGGATCCAACATCCCAGAAAAGAAAGAATGAAATGCTCCATAAAAATTCTCGACACACAGGAATTTAATTCGAGTCTTCTGCAAGCAAGAGCAAAACACCTAAGCAAGTAACGCTACTTCACAGATGCTGGTTGTGCTACTTTAACTGTTTTAATTTTTTTTTTTGTAGTAGAGGGGTTTATTTTACGGCGCTCGTAACTGCATAAGGCCATATGAGCGCCACGGGGTGGGTGTCAACGGGGAAGTCTTTACCAGGGAATCAGACTTAGACAGCTCACCTCTCTAGCTTCAACAGCACAAGGTCTGCTTCGACTATCAAGGCACCCCGGAAATAGCAGGTCACAAGAGAGGGACAAACGTACAAAAGAAGTAGAGGAAAATGACAATAGTAAGGATCAGGAAAGAAAAAGCAGCAGTTCCCTGTTGTAGATCAGGCACAGTTATGAGCGTGACCTGAGTAAGCCCATTTACAATTCTACTATGCTTGAACGAGAAATGTCCCCTCTTTGGGAATGGCCTAAAGACACTTCAGTCAGTGGTACTGCCCCGGGGGGGTTAACTTTTTAAAATCCAGCACCCTGACCCTTAGAGAAAATGTGCCTATCTGAGCTTCCTGGGTTGACTTCTACATTCAAACTATCACGCAATGAAAGACATTTGTAAAATTAATTGTAGATACATATATATTATGTTTCACAACCCTGTCAAGAAAATTTTGATCAATCAGAGTGCGAGCTTCAACCCTGCCTGTCAGGGCCAATCCAGGCTGAGAGGTATACAAAGAAAAAGAGCAGAAAGACAAAGACAGAGTTACGCGAATTTAAAAGAACACCAAAAAAACCCTCCCCACATTGGAATTGAACTCCCGTCTTCTGTGTGCCACAACGAAATGACCAACTGCTATACCACAGATGTTACTTTTCAATCAAACTAGATTTGGCATAAACTGAGATGCTCAGAGTCATCACGTTCATTTCCTGGTCCCTGCATGCTGAAATGGCTTTAGTTATGAACACAGTAAGTAGAGCGAGACTTTTGCCTTAGTTTTAGTTTTAGTAAGAGTTTTACAGCACTTTCAACTGCATAAGGTCATATGAGCGCCAGAAGATTAGAGGTGTTACAGGAGAGTAACAAACATAAAAAAGAAGAAGGGGAGATAAGGACGATAGATGTTTGATAGGAAAGAAGGAGCAAACCACACCAGAGCACCTGCCAACCACCCACAGACTTTTGCCAGCCTAATCTGGTCAGCTAAGACAAAGTGCAGTCAAACCGGCCTCTAATAAATACCACCTGTCCAAGACAACCACTTCCCACTTCCTCCTTTGTATTTTTTTCTGTATTAATAGTATGATACTGACACTGTACAAGATGTCCATCTGTCTCAGACAACGACTTTTCCCCTCAACAATGGATGCGCGTCTTGGACCATTTGCAACGTGTGCTGACAAAATGAGTTACTTCTCGGATTCAAGCCTTAAGGAAATAGATACACCAGGCTTATAGGTTTGAAGTTTTTACAACTTATAGTATGAAATAATAAAAGACAGGTTATAGTTGAAAAATATGGCATCGATAGTCGAGAGAAAATCTACAAATTTGACCTTAATGTTGTTTTTTGACCAACATCTCCATTTGTGGATTGCGAGAAGTAACTCATTTTGTCAGCACGCCTCATATTTCGAGAGCAGCCTCAGGAAATTTCCCTTGAGTAGACTGTACGATTCTGAACCATTAAAATACTAACAAATAAAAGAAAAAACTTTTGAAAGAAACCAAACAACAACAAAACTTGTATATCTACATTTCACTTTTATTCGAAACAACAATAACACAGACAATGACTTATATTTTCGGCTCTTCCGGTTTCTCCACATACATTTTATCCTCGAGGTGAGGAAACTTCTTCACCAAGTCTTTGTTTTTCTCCAACCGTCGGTTATACCAGTACCATTTGTGCCGCGCGATCTTCTCTCGATACAGCGCCAGGTATTTGAGGTTTTCTTTGTGGAAAGCTTTGGGGTACATGAGGCGGTGGACTTTGTTCATGTGAGGGGGCACAGCCTGCTCCTGGAAACGTTTGTACACCACGCGACCTAAAACGTCTCTCACATAGCCACCCTCCGGTTGTTTGGGTTTTCCAGTTTCCAGCAACGAGACGGCATCATCCCTTTCTTTGACCACTTCAAGAATGTTCTCCATACTTTCCTCAACCTTTGAAAACAAAAAAGAAAGTCTATAATGAGTATAATTACAAACGGACTTCCTCTAACTCTGAAAAATAAAAGAAAGTCTTCACTTACAATGGGAAAAAAACCACAAGGGTGGGGTTATTCGACACAATGACAATACAACTTTATAATATTGGTTCTCTGCAGCCTGTGGAGAGAAATGCAACAACTACGACGCAGAAATGATAGCAATTGAAACAGCACTATACCATCTCCGCACAGTTTTTGACACTCATCCAAACAAAACCCAGAGTATAGTGATCTTCACTGACTCACTATCAGTCTTGCAAGCAATAGAAAATGATCACCATCTAAACGAAGACTTGACACATATACTGTTTGGCTCCCATCATCTGATAACATTCTGTGGCGTGAACCTGGTGATGCAGTGGATTCCCGGACACTCAAACATACCTGGAAATGACAGAGCAGACACACTCGCCAAAAGGGGATCTAGACAGGAACAACCCAACATTCCAACTTCATACCACACTGCAAAACAAATCATTAAAAGCAACAGCAAACAAGATTGGATGAACAGATGGGCCTTGGGAAAGACAGGCAGAGCAGTTTTCAAACATATGACTACAACAAAACGAAATGACAATATCAACCACCTTCAGAGAAAGAAACAGACCACGATCTTCCGCCTACGAACAGAACATATACAGCTCAACTTTCACTTGAACAAAATAAAACCAGAACTTCCCCCAATGTGTCCTTTGTGTGACTATGCATATGAGACAGTGGAACATCACCTTTTCCACTGTACAGCCCTAAATGACATCAGAGCTACCCTTCTCCCTCCGAGACCTAACTTCGACAACACACTCTACGGAACATTACAGCAACTGCAGCAAACCTGCACTTATCACTACATGGCATTGGACAGAAGGGCGAGAGCCCAGATGTTGCTGGATCGATAACAACAACAACAACAACAACAATATTGGTTATTTTGAGCACACGAAAATCAAGACAGACAAACAGAAACAACATACAAAAGTACAAGAAGTAGAACATACCAGTGGCTCCTCAAACCAGCCACACAATGCATTATTATTCAAACAATGCATTTGACCAAACTTCATGAAATACGCACAAATTAGTGTAGCCGTTATGCACTCTGTCATAGCATGCAGAGGACCTTGGTTCGATTCCCATGTGGGAAGAATTTTTATATACCAGGTAGAGTATCTTGGTCTTTCTGCTGGAATGTTGTATCCCTCTCAACCAGACTTGGTAATGACAGACAGGGTCAAAGCTTAACTCCTAAATGATCTAAATTGACATGCCTCTTAAAATGATTATTTTTTTTACAGTGTTGAAAGGGGTGTAGAGCCCATGAAAACACAGTTATAAATTACAGTGATCTGGAACTCTGCAAGGAAAAAAAATCACAGGTCAATAAGAAGAAATGAAGGACAAAGGTCTAAACGTCACAGTAGCATCTCAGTCTTGGCTGCTGTATGAACTTAGTTTCCAGTCGCTCTACATTATAACTGTGACCTTCAGCCTGTCCTGGGCTTTCCTTTAACCCACAGTTTCAACACATTGTGGCATCAACAAATGTGTCACGACGTGGTGGAATAAGGCATTTGCCAAGTTTTGGGCATATGGAGTTTTTGGTATCATCTTAAAGGTTGTTCATTTGCCTTGCTTTTGATCAAAAAATTATCCATTTTTCTTGAATAGAAGTCGAGATATTTGCGATTGGAGGAGGAAGTAAAATTAGTGAGAAAATGGCAGCCACAGTTTGGTGAAATTCATAGCTTAAAGAGTCCTTGGAAACTGCAAATTAAAATTTGTTGTGCCTTTAATCAACGTTTTTCTACAAAATCCAAACACAAGAGTGTTTTTGAAAGGACACACAAGATGTTGCGCCAAAAAACAAAAATTCAAAAAAAAAATTCCAAACTGACCGAAAAATGCAGATTTCTCGGATTGCATTATTTTGACGAGTGCCTCATTTCACCACGACGTTTCACAAATCCTTTCTTGTTCTCTTGCAAGCATACATATTACACCATGAATTTATTCATTTTTTGCATCATTATCAAGTGTATAGGTGCTGAATTGATTACATCAACAACAACAACAACCAGGAGTACTGAGTAAAAGTAAAGAACTTTGTTGGAAATTTAGAGTCATACACACAGTAAGACAACCTTAATATTTTGTTTTAAAAAAGTGAAAGAGAAGTCATTTACAGATACCTCAAAACAAAACAAAAATAAGATTGGAATGGCAAACCAAGCACTACTAGACTGGTCAGAAAGAGCATTGGTTAAGCTATATTCACTCTAAAGAAATGAGAGAACCTTACTTTGTCGATTCTCTCAGGGTTGGGGAAAAGCTCTGAATTCCTGTTGTACTCTGCTTCCATTGTCATCAGCATATTCCGCTCTTTCAACAGCACATACCTGTCGACAAAATAGACATTGTTCTCATATATATAATAATATATACATGACATACAAAATGAAAGATAAAGTAATCAGCAACAATTGCAATAATCATTAACCACTAAGAACAAAATAAAAGCAAAGAAGCAGACGGCAACTGTTCTACTACACATACAGTGGTTACACATGTATGAAGAGAGAGTGTGAGAAAGAAAAGCTTAAAGGAAGGAGCAGAGCGCTCAAGCACCGTACAGGAAAGAACAAATAATACAACTGCTAGCCTGCTCAACTGACGTAAGACACTCCCATTTGTTTTCACTCACTCATTTGGTACAGGAATTTCCATCTGAGTACACTTTGCCATTAATCAATAAGAAAGATTATCTGTGTAAACTTTTAAATCATTAATCATACAGCTCATCGTTATAATTTAGACAAGTATCTGGTAACTAATCATTTGCATGGGCTTTCATTTTTCCTCTTTTGACAAAATATCACACAATAAAACAGGGAAAACAGCGCATCAAACTCTTAACAAAGAGCACAAAGTCTAAAGGAAATCTTTTCCAGAAAAAGAGGGTTGAATTATCTCCCAAACAGAATATCAAATATTTCTGACCTACCATGCCATAATAACCAGCCCAAATACCACATTTTACATATAAAATGAGCACATAGAAAGAGGACCTGTGTAACATTTCCAGCAATTACAATTTTTTTTAAAAAGATGTAAAATACAGTCATACACCTCCAACAGCAACCACTATTCTAAGAAAAACACCTCTACAAAAGACCACTTCTTAGTTCCCCCCTTCCTTCCGGCTTTTTTCTATTGTAAGATGACACTGTCGAAAACATCCAACTGTCTAAGACAACTACTTTTCTCATCGATGACGGGTGGCCATCTTGGACAATTTCCAGTTTTTAAAATTTGGTTTATGGTAAATTAATGTCTGGACTTTTACTTAGCGTAAATATCATATTTCTGAAGAAATTCTCACCAGAGTTTGTGAAGGTCTTCGCTACTTTTTATCCTTAGCTCATCCAGTCTCCACGGTCGACCTGTGAGAAATTGAAAAAAGTGCTGAACTTTGAACATAGTCATAATATGAGGGAAAGAAATTTCAACTCCAGTATGGTAATGACAAACACAAAAGCAAAATCTCAATTGGGACAAAAATGGCTCCTGATAAACAAATTATGACAAAGAAAGGAAAATTCATTTTGCGCAAAATAAAAAAATACATTGTTGATCTCCACATATGGTCCAAGTTTCCTTTCTCTAACAAATCCTAAATGACAAAAACCCTACCCTGAAATGACGGTCCATCCCACCCTACTAGGTGCAGGGATATTATTATATGAGCGTGTGTCTTGGATGAAAGTGTTGATATGAGTAAAAAAAAAACTCTGAGAGGTCACACAAAATGACTAGATATCTCTGATAGATCTTTGTAAATTTATACAAACCACATGATAATGCACTGTTGTGAAAACTTAACTGTAGCAGAGTTTGTGTTTGCTGCTGGAGGAAAAGTGCTCAAAAGAAACATCAAGTGTTGCTTGCAGAGCAAGTTATTCTGTTGTGTCCAAGGATTATCACAGTAAGATTCAACCTATACAAGGTCTATTACAGATTGACTCTTTCAGTACCAAACACAGACGCACTGTTTGATTATGGGATGATATAATCATGGTACACAGGAGCGAAGGGTGAAAGAAATAAACAGGTATCCTTTATCCGTTTGTTGCGTTGAGATTTTGTTGATAAAATGTTGGTGAGAGTGGTAATGTAACATTTTTTCTGTCACTTGTGTACCTGTTGTTGACACTCACCAGAGGGAACAGACTTTTCTCCCCATACATCCTTCCGATCAAAAAATTCCATTAAATCATGGTGTGTAGTTGAAGTGTGAAAACTGATGGCTGGCGAGACACGTGAAATGCGCTGAACAAGTGATGAGGTTGGAAGTCTGTGAAAAGAATGCAACAGAAAACATACGAAACGATACACCTCACGGCATTAGTCATTCAAGAACATTCTTAGCAATAATGACATAACGGGTGAAAGAGTTTACCAAAATCCTGTAAACTGAAAACCAGACAGCTGGTGTAACAACATCTCAACTCACTGGAGTATCATTCATTGTTCATTACCCCTCCCGGGGTGGTGCTACTGACAGAAAGTGTCTTTAACCATTCCCAAAGGGGGGACATTAACTAACCTGTTCTTATGCACAGTAGAATAATAAATGGGCTGATTCATCGATGCCATGCTCATAACTGTGCCTAAACTGCAACAAGAAACTACTGCTTCTTGTTTCCTAATCCTTACTATCTTCATTTTCCACTACTATTTTTGTATGCTTGGCACACTATCAAGTCCATGGCATTGGCTAGTCCAAGTTCAAACATCTAGATCTAAATCTACATGCATCTCTACTCATCTCTATACTACTAAAGTCAACAATGATGAGAAGAGTTCCGTAGAGGGCTGGCACTAACCGTGACAAGGGGCTGGATAGTACTTTACCGGACCGCCCGTCTGGGCCCGTGATTACTACGGGCGCCTAGCCTAACTATGCACCATAGTTCTCTATGTGCGGACAAGAGGTTAACCTAGTTGAATACTACTAGTTCCACAGGCGACTCGTGCGCATCTCTCACCCTCCATTGTACTTGGCCGGACCAGGAAGGGGGGGGGGGATAGGCCTAGCAGAGTCGGGAGCAAAGAAGAATAGTGGACCACATGATTCGATTGACCAATTAGCGTAAGGTATCACGGGCACTTCACTGTCTGTGGCACGGTCGTGATGACTGAAAAACCTGGTAAGAGACGTCGGCACTCCTGTACAATTGCGTAGCAATGCCAATGAAAATTTAAATTTTCACTTTTGCCCCCTTTTTTTTGGTACCTAAGAAAGAATTTTCAATTCTGATAATTATGCTTCTTGAATTTTGAGAAACGGTTCATAAATAAAAAAGTTATGGGGTTGTAAAGGTCGGCAAAATATGGATGACCCACATATAGGAAAATACTCCTAAAAAGTGGACCACGCAGTAGTAGATTCTGTAAGAAAATCGACGATATCTCGGTAACTAATCCGAGTGTTCGAGAGAAACTTGGCTACCCGATGTGTTTTTGAGTGTAGAAATCATTTCTGCAGTCAGATTTACTACCAATTTCGTAGTTTTATTTTGTTATAATTAAAATTGTGGTGTACATATTACGATTTTGCGAAAAAGGGGTGTCGGGATGAGTCCATTTTATTTATAGCATCGTATCACAACATGGGATCTTTAAGAATATATGTCGGCAGCGTGACTAAATAATTGCAAAGCTTTTTATGATGACTTTAGACCATGCCAACCGTAAAAGATAAGTTAATTCAATCTAGCATGCCGTACAATTAAAAATTCTTTTTCCCCGTTGAGACGCGAACACCCCGAGACGAGATAACCTCGCCTCGGAATACCCCCATTGCGATGTTACAGGGGAATAGAGAGAAAAACAACCGGATGCGCGCGCCCGCCATTGCCCTATTTCAAGTGACCAATGAACGGGCCCGGAATAGTCATGCGGGGATTTGTAGGTCACAGACATTTGCCACGGGAGTGAGGGGAAAATGGCCGGTCTCCGTGCGAAGCCGCTTTGGATAGGGGGGTAGTCGTAGATTTACGATCGGGTCTAAACAACTACTTGACACAGAACTCTCAAATTTGAGCACACTATAGAGGATAGATAGATCTATTACCATCTGGGCGTTGAAATTCAAACTCCTTATAGTTTTCGGTGTACACGATACGAAAGTGTTCCCGACACCAAAAGTATAGGTTAATTTATGTGTACGAACTTCAACGTCCACATATCATTAGTTTGCCCTATTTTCTGATTGGTAGCCGAGTTTCATTCGGATTGGTTCGGAAATAGAGCAGACCGAGGTTGACAAAGTTAGTCACCTACGCTTCGGCCGGGTCCGCAAAATCGCCCGTAAACGGGGACCAAATTTTCGCCTCGCGGGAAAGCCCGATTGGCATTGCTAAATTGCGGTCCCATTAGTTCTAGCACTAAATCACACAAGCAAAGACTACTGGATATCGATACTGATTTAAATATTCGGTGTATCAATGTTTTATCAGTAGATACTAGCCTACAAAATGAGCAGTAAAACTTCACTTACAAGTATTTAACAAAGCAAGGGAGGTTTCCTGACCACCTAACAAAACATAGGAGGTTTCAGGGGCATGCCTGAATTTGACCATAACGAGATGTTTTGCAAAATAGGCTTGACTGGCTATCTCTCCATTATAGGCCTATCGGCACGCGCATCCAAAAAGTAATCGTTTAGAACCAGAAGTAATCGTTGGTGGGGTCAAAGCGAGTATCCCTAAACAATTGTACAGGAGTGCTGAGACGTCAGTCGAAGGGTGAGGACGTAGGAAAGTGAGTATGAGAGCCGTGAAAGAGGAAGAATAGCGGACCACTGCACCAGGGGCGCCATGGCATAGTGTGTAAAGTAGTTCTGACCGGTGGTCCGGTAAAGTGCATTCTTACCTGCAAGGTCCACTGAGCAAACTATACAAGAGTTAGGCTTAGGGTTTAGGGTTAGGGTACACCCCGCTCAAAATATCCCCTCGTTTGTGTGTTGCTGGTCGGACGGCCCTCTGCGGAACTCCTTCCACAATAACTTGAATCCCAAACCAAACGATGTCGAGGTGATGATTGTATCCAATTGGCCCTACAAAACCTATGCTACAACTAGATCTACAAATAATTTCCTAAAACCTCAGTCCCTCCCAAATCTAATTCTTACGTGAGACATGCTGTGCGATTGGTGAGAGGTACGATCATGTGAAGATGCCTTTTCGTCAAATGTGATAAAACAGATCTTCCCAAAGTCAAACATTCATGCCGCAAGGCAGCCATTTTGTACAAAAATATGCCAGGTATACCCTACAATTCAATTATTTGTTCACTTTTGACATTTTTTGGGAATGTTTATTTTATTTCTGCTTAAAGAATATTTAATTGATGATATTATAATGTAATGCATACATTATAAAATATCTTTACAATGTGCATAAGCATATTTGTCAACAATTTTTTTTAGGCATAGTCTGCAAAATCAGGAGAAAAAAAAGGAATCAAAGTATACTTACAAAGCGGCATATAAATACTTGTTTATATAGAGTGACGTCCCTTCAAATTGTTTGTTTACATGAACAAGAGGAATCACAACTTTTTCGATGACTAACAACACTCTACTCAAAACTTGATTAAAAGCTTACCTGCCTACCCCAATTTATGTAGACAATATTATTTTCAAGTTTCTATGGATATGAATACCCCAGAGATTGGGTAATTTTTTCTTATCTCATCTTTTAATCAGGCATGCATACATTTTGGATCCTCCCAAGCCCAAAGAATTGTTTTTAGACTTAGAAAATAATTTTATAGTTAAATGTTAGATCTCTCGAGTCTAGATTTAGATCTTAGAATCTATTCTAGATCTAGAGACGAGATCATCTAGATTCTAGATCTAGATCTAGATCTTTTAGCCTAGTTAAGTTAAAATTGTCTGCTATAATAATGACTAACTGAGTCTGATATTCGCCCAGTAGTGGGTGGTTTGGTAGGCGTTTGTTGGGGG